ATAATCAAGATTTGAGAATTTTAGTAGCATTACATTTACTATAAAACTAATTTGTTTGACATGAGCTTGATACAGTCACTGTAAACACCACTTTACATTTTATTATTAAACATTGACTTTTGTCTTATGTCCTTTCTTTCACCTCCATGTGGTTGCAGCAGAGGGCTGCCCCTCCATGAACCTGGTTCTGCTGGAGGTTTCCTCTTGTTTAAAGAGAGTTTTTCCTTCAACTCATCATAAAGTTCTTGCTTACAGGGCGTCATCTGGTTTTCTCTGTAGATTAGTAGGATCTTTACCATACAATATAAAGCACCTCAAGATGACTGTTGGTGTGATCTGGTGCTAAATGAAATTGAATTAAATTCATTTCAACTGAATTGTTAGAGTGGTGAACAGTTCAAAGTTGACTATGTTTGTCAAGTTCAAAATGTTACAGTGTCTATTTGATAGACACTGTAACATTGTGTTAACAAGCAGTTAATTAAAAGTAGTCTAACATAAATGTAAATGCTGTAATTTGATCATTTTAATAAACCATGTAACTTGGATCGATTCTAGAACATAAATGACTGGTATCAAAGGAATCTATTTTAGGATCGATCCGCACATCACTAATGAACAGAATAAACTTTCTGAATGAATGCCTCACGACATAACACATCCAATTTGTCTAATGAGTATTAGTATGCTTGTGTCATACAGTATGTAAAAGAAAGACTCACCATCAAAGCAAACTGAATATTTTTTGCTCATACAGGAATATATATTCAGGTACCCGTTTCTGGAAACTGCACAGTTGTCATCAGTTATTGAGTTCCACAACAAATAACGTCTTTCTCCCTTTGTAGAAATCATCTGCCAGAGACCAGTGCCACCTGCGGGTCGTGCCTTTTGAAAGGCCAATCCACACAGCATCATCGTATTTATCTTTGACAACTTCAAGGAGAGTTTCCATCTCTCTCATGTCATTGATGGTGGCCAGGTCGAAACATTGCTCCCTGCAGATGTTCTGGGCTTCAGACCAGGTCTTTGGTGTTTGAAAGAAGACAAACCGTGGCTGGAGACCATGTGAAAATTAAAAAGACAAGCCTGTGGAATAAATATAATCCACAAATTAAATAGTCAATCGCCATTGTGAGATCTGCAAACTGTAAGTAAGTCTTAGATAACCAAAAAAATGGTGTTAATATTTTACTTAAAATGTAATTAAAGGTGTTCACTGTTAGATCTGTTGAAATTTTAGCAGCACATGTACCAGTCAAAATGAAATCTAGGATAAAAATAAAGTGAGTTCATTTGTATAAAACAGTTTAGCACAGCAGGGTTGCCTAACAAACAATTTAAGGTCATTGAAACAACTATTACGAATAAGAAAAAACAGCTGAAATATAAATAATTAATTTGCAAAACGAAGTACAAGGTTCAAAATAATATTTTAAAAATATTAAAACAAAGGGACAAAATAGGACAACTTATGAGCTTTAAAACTCTGGCTTTTTTAGATAGGGTGACCAAACATCTTTTTTTTGCACTTGTTGAGTTATAAAAGCCTATATTATTTCACCATTCATTAACCGCACAGAGAAAGCATAATTTAAATATAAACCCTAACCTTTAGGCTTTCTTTAAGCAAACAGTATTATTAAAGTTTTATTTATTTATTATTTTGTTTTTGTCTTTTAAAATGCAGAGGTATGCCCAGCTAAAGAGTTAAAGGATCACTGTTTTGACAGTTAGCAACACTGACCTGACAGGAGCAGAATTAGATGCATGATCCTTGCCGTACTTGTCAATTTGTGGCAAATATGGGAGAGCCCTCAGTGTCTGTCTAGGATGGATGTGCCAGAGTGATATCACTTGCTCCTTTCTACGTTTTTTTAAACATGAACTGTGATTTCCATATGCCGGTCATGCAAATGCTTCCCACTCAGAATGCAAAACAGCATTAGTCCTTGTTTACTGGAGTTAGTCACAGCATTATAAGGAAAACACTTTATAGTAATTCTTTTTTAAAATGATCATGTTGTAATCCTTTAGCCTTGTAATTATATTTACAAACATTAAAGACAAAATTATTTCTTATTTGCAGAGTTCCATCATTTTCTGCTGCCAAGGTGCCTTCCACGGCTCCTGAGTGCTGAGGTGTACTCTGCAGTACAGTCACATGTTAGCAGGGTGAACAGCAGTGGACCAAGCACACAGCCCTGCCGCGATCCTGTACTCTGAGGACTTTGGAGGTGGTATTTCCTATGAAGAAAGACCTGGGGCCTGTCAGTTAGGAAGTCAAAGATCCAATTGCAGCAGGGCCGTGCAGAGAGGTTTAAAGGGGCGGGTGCTCAAAGTTAAAAAGGGGCACATT